GAATCGAATTTTCTAGAATTTTTTTTTTCTTTTTTTTATAAAGACAAGTGAAAATCCAATTATATATATTACAATAAAGTTCCTTTTGAGAAGCTAATAATAATCTTTTAACAAGAATAACGTGTAATATTAAGAGTACATACACACAACACCAAATGTAATATTCATCAATTCATATAAATGTCTAATAAAAGAAAGAATTATGTATAATAAAGCTTGAATCAACAAGCCCATTAATTACTCGTAGCAGGAGAATTAGACGGGCGCCCTGTTGGAGCTGTTGAAGATTGCTGAGAATGTGCAAAGAAATGTGGTGATGGAGAAGATGATGATGGGGACGGACCTTGTTGTTGAGAACCATCAAAAGATGGACCACGACTATGGTGAACTAGTTCGGGTCGATGAGGTTGTAGTGGAGGAGGATGATAATAGTTTAAAGAACCATGTTGTCCTGATGGTGGTTGACCTTGCGGTAACATCCTATGTTGTTGTTGATAATTAAAAGAATTGCTTGATGGCGGTGATGGACCAACAGGTGATGGAGGATGAAGTTGATGAACTGGTGGAAGATGATGAGGGTGAATAGGTTGAGGAGGAGGAGGAGGACCAGATCTCATATCACGAGAGCCACTCGGTAATGGATTTGAAGAAGGATCGAAACCAGGTGGTCTTTGTTGAAATAATGTTTGTTGTTGTGAAGATGAAAAAAGACGATTCGGTGATGTAAAATTTATGTGCATTCCATTATTAGTAATAGAAATTCCAGCAGAATGAACTGATGGTAATGAATGCTGAGAATGAGCAGCACGTATATCATGTGTTTTTTCATGTTTTCTGAGAGATCTTGAATGATAATATGCCTTATTACATCCTTTGAATGAGCAGATATACGGGCGATGATTGGAATGCGTCTTTACATGGGTTGTTAGAGAATCTGGTCTTGAGAACCTTTTACCACAACCATTTACACTACATACAAAAGGTCTTTCCCCAGTATGAGTTCTTAAATGATTATACATCTTGTGACGTTTTGTGAACGGCTTTTGACCCCTTAAGCATCCTTCCCAATCGCAAGCATAGGTAGCCTTAAAAAAAAAAATAATAATAAATGAAATAATATGTATATGTATATATATATATAATAAATAAATAAATATATATATATAATAAATAAATAAATATATATATATAATAAATAAATATAATAAATAAATATATATAATAAATAAATAAATATATATAGATATTAAGATTGAAATAAATTTTTAGGACTAAATAAATACTAACCTTTCCACTACCAATATGAGAATCACCGACATGTGATATTAAAGCTTCTAAACTATCAAGTACTTTTGTACAACCTCTCCACATACATCGGTGATTATCAGATTTTTCATCTTGACCTTCGGGTTTTACAGAAGTTAATGATGGAGAACCTTGAGAACTACCGGCTATTGTAGATTCAGATCGATTAGATTCTCGTTTTAAATCTTCGGCATTGTCACTTGGAGTCATTGGTGAATCGTTATCATCTAATGAAGTAGCTTCGATATATAAGCAATAAACAAAAACCAAAAACCCCATCTTAAAAAATTAATGCAAATTTAACTATAAATTATTAGAGTCAATAATACATACAATAATATGTATGTATATTTACTTATTTAAAAGTAAATGGAAGGCTTACCGCTAATATCATCAGAATAATTAGATTTTATAGAATCACCACGAGAACGTTTATGATTTTCAGAAGTACGATTTTTTGAATTTTTATCACGTTGTTCGTAATACCTAACTTTTTCTATAAGTTGATCTTTAGAATAGTTAGGATGTTCGTATTGTCCCAATTTAGCGTAAAGTTGTTCATTGGTTAAATCTTCTAAATTAGAAGATTTATTAATTGAAGTAGAAATATTCTTTGCAGTTTTTGAAGATTCAACATTATCAATATCAGATTGTAAATTTGTAGTAGAAGGTTGAGAAATAACTTTAGATAATTGAACATCTTGAACAATATTAGTATCTTTTGAAATATCCAAAGACTCAGGTGGGGAATTATGAAATTCCAGTTTAATTTGATCGTTAAGTGCAGGAGAAGGTATACGAGAGGAATTATCAATTTGAGATCGTACTTCATTTTCAGGTGATTTCTTGGAACGGTCATCTTGAGGTAGAGAAACTTGTAGGTCAGGAGATACGGTACGCGAAGGGGATTGAATTTGTTGTGAAGGAGAAGATTCGATTACGTGATCAACCGAGGATTTTTGAGCTGCATTCTGCATATCCAATTGAGGATTTTCGGCGACAAATGTTAATGTTTGTGCTGGTTGTAAAGAATTACCAAGAATACTCGTATCTACAACCACCGTATTGTGAACTATATGTTCCCCAACATTGATAAGATGTATTGGACCTGCTGAAGGTACTACAATACTTGAACCATTATTAGGGGGTGCAATACTCCAAGAAGTAGTAACAATAGGACTAGAATTCAAAAGATCGGCCATCGGAGGTGGTTGGGTCGATGACGATAAAATTTGCTCAGTTTGATTATTACTGATAGACATTTGACTGCTTACCGATTGACTGACAATATTATTGGCAGAAGCATTAACATTAGCGGCCAACTGATTATTATTAGCGATTTCCATAGCCAAACGCCTGTTTTGTTCAACTAAATTCATCGATTCAACCATTTGAGCATTAGCTATAGATTCCACAAGATTCATAGGATCATTACTGACAACAGATTGAACAGTATTTGTAGTAGTAGTTTGATTATTCGTACCCGGATTTTCTATGACCAAAACAACAGAAGAATTTTGATCATTAGATAAATTTTGAGGAGGTTGCTGTTGTTGTTGTTGTTGTTGTTGTTGAACTTGAACTTGAGCGACTTGTTGAACTTTAGCAACAGCAGCGGCAGCAGCAACTTGAGCAGCATGAACTTGAGCAGCTTGAGCAGCTTGAACAGCTTGAACTTGAGCAGCTTGAACTTGAGCAGCTTGAACTTGAGCAGCTTGATGAGCAGCTTGAACTTGAGCTTGAACTTGATGAGCTTGAGATTGTAATTCAACTTGAGTTACAAGGGCAGCAACAGCGGCTTGAACTTGAGCATCCTCATGAACTTTAACAGAAGGGTCAGTATCTATAATCATTTGATCAATTGAAGGAGGATCTTGTTGTTGTTGTGGTTCAGTAGACATAATATTTTGGATCAAAACTTGTTGAGCAGAAGCGACAGCTTGTACAACAGCATGAGCTTGAGCGGCAGTTAAAGGATTTACGACAGCTGATTGGTCAATCTGATGTTGTTGTTGTTGTCTATTTAAATCCATTATAGAAGTAGTAGTAGAAGGGGAAGAAATCATATCATTTTGTCGTTTTACATGATCTAAAGGATCGAACATTTGATTGTATATAGCAGTATTAACATTTACTACAGTAGGTTGTTGTTCTTGTGGAGCAGCTAAAACTACTTGAGGAGAAACATCAGTAAGAGTTAACTGAGGTTGTTGTTGATCTTGTTGAGAGGTTACCATCATTTTTGAAGGGTCGTGGATCAGAGAAGGGTCCAGTGAAACGGTGGTAGAAACACTACTTATTGTTATTTGAGGAGAGTTTGTAGCTTCCATTGAAGTTGCAGGAGCAGTATTCATAACTAAAACAGGTAATTGTTCTTGGTTAACCAACATTGTTATATCTTGAGTAGAGTCGTTTATGGAATTTAAAGTAGTAATAGTTCCAGAGGCAGTAGAAGCCAGACTTGTTGATAGTTGAGGAGGTCGTGAATGAGAAGTTGGATTAGCATTTAAAACTACCATCTGATTCTGAGTATTTTCCAGCATCAATACTTGAGCTTGTTGATTCTGCAAAGGGTCTATTGAAACAGCGTTAGTATTTTGTTGAGCTGTAGTAAGGTTTAGACCACCTATACTGGTATTCGTCGTGGGAGAATTTGTAACAGGGGCCATTGGTGCCGGTGGCATCTGGCCAAATTCGAAGTTTTGTGATTCCATTTCTGGAGTCTACCGAAGAAACGAAATTGGAAAGATAGAAAAGAAGAGAGAGAGAAAGAAAAAATTTTTTAGTGTATATATTTAAAAAAAAATATATATTTTTTTATTTTTTAATTTTTTTTTTTTATTGTGACCGTTCTGGTACAACTTGATAAACTAACAGCCCCTGGGTGCAAGATTCCTATTTTAGGATCTAGAAAGGTTTCTCAAGTTGTTTACCTAGAAGACATAAGAGAGAATATAAGGATACTTACTTACGTACATTAATGAAGAGTCAAGTGAAATTTTGAACGGAAAAAAACCAGCAATCTTGCGATACTTAGACTAATAAAGATTAACACAAATCTTGTCTAAATTAATACATTATTGCAGCTGCATCAAAAAGTCAAATTGTGATTCAATCATCAAATCAAAATAAATCAAATAAATCAAAAAAGCATTCACTAATTATTCTAATTATTTTAATGATTCAATAGCCAATAATATTAACATATTAACAGGAACAAAATAATATAATAAATAATTTAAATTATTTTTCTTAGTGTCATTGCTGCAAGATATCTACAGCATGCGAGTCAAACGGAACAATATGGACGCAATGCTTGTAAAATAATAAATTTCTGAATAGGGCATGTGACTACTTACGTTCTTTCTGCAGCATCTCAGCATCTCAGCATCTCAGCATCTCAGCAACTCAGCATCTCACCGCTCAATCGTCCGATAAATCACGTGAGTTGGAAATTATTCTCGTTCTACAGTTTATCAGTCTGTTACGACAGAATGTAACACGGAATAAATATGGCGAACAAAATATTAGATGGAAGAGAGGAAATGATCGTGTGACATTATTCTGGAAAATCCATCACGATCATAAATTCTTATTTTCTTTTACTCAAAGTTATGTGTATATACTGTATATGATATCAATACACAGTATCTGATATGTCTGATGTGAATCACTTTTTAGACATGATAAGAAACTCGGAAATAAATTACGCCGAGATTTTATCCTAAACCTAGGCGGTAAATTTTAGTTTATAATAGAGTCACCGAGATATCGGTAAACAAATGCAAGTCATTCCGAATATTAAAAAAGGTCTCTAACCAATGATTCTGCATATAACTTTGTTGTTTGACACGTGTATTCCAATAAAGTTTATTTCTGTACCTCTGTATCTATAGTATCTATAGTATCAATAACATTTTCATTTTATTATGAATTATTATCGAATATCTGAATATCTATTATATTTATTTATCGTTATTTATTGCAATTGATTGTTATTTATCGTTATATATTGAATATCTATTTAGTTTACATTTATCGTGGTATCAACGCGTTCTTAAATTTTCCAATGTGTAAATATTTAATAAATATATATATACTTACAAAAATAATTATTCTTTAAATGATTCCTGTAATCCCTTAAGGAATTTAATATTGTTGGATCGGCTTGTATTATATTAAATTACGCAATTTTCCTGTATACAAGAAGATCTCAACATTTAAGAACAATGGAATCTTTGTGTATTCTTGCAGTTTCACATATGTATTTCCAATCCTTAAAAGTTCAAAAAAAAGCAAGTTTTTTTTTTCAAGCTTATTGATCTAAAAACTATTTTTTTAACGATCGTATTCGTTATTCCAATTTTCTAGCATATGCTGCAGATATGATTTGCATTATACGCTATCAAGTCTAACCTCGTTGAGAAGTCTAACCTCATCGAGAAGTCTAACCTCATTGAGAAGTCTAACCTCGTTGAGAAGTTGAATGTTGTTTCCTCACAATGTGAATGTAAGCATGTAATCATTAATTTCATATTCATTATTTTGAAAAAAAAGGTTAGTCATGCTTTGATTTGGCTTTGCGAAGAATATATACAATTTCGTTGAATTATACAATATTAAGTTTCACATATTTATATGTCGTCGAGAAATACATACATACAATGCAACTAACTTTTTTTAGCAAAAGAAAGTGTGCAAACATGAACCCAAGATCAGAAAATACGCGCATTTAGCATAGAATCTCACGCGCTCTTAGAAACGTGTTTAGTATAAATGGAATGATTCACTACGCATTTATTCATTACGCATTTAAATGTAATGTTATCAAGAATCCCTCTTAAAGTACTAGAAATGTCTCGTGACTGCCAATAGGTCTTCATGATTCAATAATTAATAAAAAAAATCCACCTTTTATATTATCAGTGTGCGCTTGGCTTCTTTTATAAATCACAACATTTTATATTTTATGACAACTAGAATCATGATTGCTTAATTATGAAATTATCAGAGTAATCCATGTATTGAATGAAGTTTATTTTCAGTTATAAAAAGTTTATCTAGATATATAATATCTAATACTGTATATAAAAAGCTTATCTAAATAGAAAAATAGAGATAATTTTTAATAGTATTGTTGTATAGGCCAGATCCAAAAAACGAATGTCTAGTGCAAAATAAACCAATGGATTACTATCTATCGAGGCAAGTAAATTTATTTATTTATTTTTTTTAATATTAAGGTGATCACTTGGGGGTCTGGCACGTTTTATTAACTTTGGTTGCGAATGCCAGGGCAGCCACAGGACCACCCCTAACTTTGTTACATTAATGAGGATACATTCTAGCCATACCTGCGTCTTTTGAGCACCTAATTAAGTATCTACCTATCACTAGGTTTTACACTAGATGCCATACCTATAACCCACTATTACTTAAGTTACCCAATTAAACCCTCTGATCAACTTAGTGTTGTTAGATATTTTTTCCAAAAAGGAACTGCTGCTAAGGCCTCTTAGAACTACTTTATCCTTGTAGTAAACCTACTAAAGCGGTCCATATCCCACACATATATTACCTAAATTTTTAGTAACTTATGGCTAGGTCGTGGCCAAGTACTTGTGGCTTTTTATCTCTGCTACCATTATCTACTCTGTGTTTTTGCAAAGTTTATCCAAACCCTAGCACCCACTTTATGGACTATCAACAGTACTTCGATGCCAACTGTCAGTATCCCAAACTCTCAATCTAGATGGCCTAAAAGGGACTAATAGACGTCCCCTAGTATTTTGAATGAATCCTTTTTTCTCCGGCTGATCTGGCAGCCTGATTGGTGTAGTGCTTTTGCTAAACACTCAGTCTTTGTTCAGTTTACCTTCAGTATCCGGTTCCCAAGATGATAATCTTTTATATAGCACTGTCAAAGATCTATGCTACCTCTCTATTTGAAACTTCTTAAGTGGGCTTTCGTATTCCCGATCTCTTAGATTTATTTGGCTGCTTCACTTAGATTTCATGTAACTCATGCATTATACTATATTCTACAACCTCCCAATATGAGTTGATAAGACCAAAGTTACAGGTGCTTATCTGATCGATATGTCATACAGTTTTATCATAACGCATTTCTGCAAATTTAAATTTTGTCACCAGTGGGATTCGAACTCTTGTTCTGCCACTTGGGGATGTGACAACTTACCAATTATACTAAGTCTCTACACCCATATTTAATTTATATTTAAACCTGATACTTGTAATAATATTCTTAAAATCTTAATAAATAATAAATTAATTTAGCTCTAAATCTAATATTATATGATAGTATTTTTTTAAAAGTATTCTTATAGTATTTTTTAATAAATAGTAGTATAATAGTAATTAATATTTAATTTTTATTAAATTTTAATAAAAAATATTATGTATCCCTAATCCATATATAATTATCATAACCAACTAATTAAATGTTATGTCTAAAATTTTTACACAGTAGCAGTGATCAGTTTATATAAGTTTAATATCATTTGAGGACGAAATAATAAAATATAAATAAAAAATAAAAAATATATTTTTTTTATAATAAAATAAAGAAGGATGTTCATAATAGGCTGTCTACCTTATATCAAGTCTAGTTACTTGACTGGTAACTTTCACAAATTGTAACCACGATGAGTTTCTAGTTCTCTATTTTATCAATTTTGTTTTTTTAATTTTTTTTAATAAAAATAAAATAAAAATAAAATATAAAAAATCTAATAAATTTTTAAAGAATAATATTTATAAAGACTATATAAAAATAGTAAAATTAAATAAAGCTAATAATTTTAAATATAAATATAAAAAAATAATAAAAAATACTTAACTTTTAATTAATAAATATAAATTTAAAATAATTATAAAATTTAAATTATTACATGGTAGCAATGATTAGCTTGCAAAGTTTAGGAGTTATTTGAAGACAAAAAATTAAATGAATCATTAAAATTCTCTATAAACAATATTTTTTATAAAGATATTATCATCGTCATCAGATTGTATATTGTTTACCAAAATTTTGATTGTTTTGCATAAAGTTATTCTAGAAAAAGCTATATAGAGTTGTCTATATGAAAAAACTGATTGCAGCAAAGAGAAACAAACTAAAGGAATAGTTTGTCCTTGACCCTTATTAATAGTCAAAGCATAGGCCAAATGAACTGGAAATTATTTATATATTAAAATAAAAGAATAGACAGCATCAGAAGGTAATAAAGTCATTTTAGAAAAAAAACCTTTGTTCAAGAAATAATCTAGTAAGAATTTCACAATCTAGAACATAATTATAAAATCCTTTCACAATAAGCCTAGTTCCATTACATAAACCTTCAAAAGGATTCATGTTATGTAAAAGTATTACAGGTACTCCTACTTTAAAAGTAAGCTTATGTGGAGGCAATCCACTTAGTATCAATATGTTGAGAAATTCTATTAAATATTAACTCTCATAAACAGAATTTATATCCTCAACAAAATCAGTAGAATAAAAAATTTGTTTGCCTCTGAAATCAAATTAAGAACTTGGTTGTTAATTAATTCTACATCATCATTTTTAGGCATAAGAATAGCTCTCTCAACAATAAAATTACTATCATTATATCTTGTAGTAATATCATTGCCATCTAAAATCATAGAT